TGTTTCATGTTTTCCACCTACAATAATTTAATAAATTCATTTACACAAAAAATTTTGATTTTTTTGATATTTTATAAAATATTAGATTTTAAATTAACAATATTAACTAAAGATAATAAATATTTTCACAGTGAATAAGTATGAACACTTTTATAAAAGGATAGATAATTTACAATATAACAGGTAAAAATATGACAAAACCATTCATTATGACAAACCGGTAAAATTTACTTGATATGTTAAAAGTATGGACACTTTTATAAAAAAGATAGATACTTACGAACCAAGTTTACCGGTTACCAAATTTTTTAATAGTTTTTCATATTTCTACCTAAAACATTATTAGTCAACATAATAGGTACCGCTAAACCGAATTTATAAATACATTTTATGTATCCGGTAATGCTGTATATTAGCCGTATATTAACCCGCCTTTCCTGAGACATTCCCCACCTTTCTTGCCCTAGAGACTCAGGATCGATTCCCTTAGCCCCATATTTGAGTTCTCTCGATTTTCTTTTCACCATGTCTCCATCTTATTGGTAGAAAATAAATTTACTAAATTAAATTATAACTAAATTTAATCTTTTAATAAGATAGTAATATGTGTCGTGGTACAATTGATTTGAGGTTAAATTAATTTTAGTTTATTAAAATTAAGATCAAATTAATAGAATATATAAGTAAGAGTGATCAAATATATTATATTAGTTTTATTAATTGCCGCATCAACACTTCCGTCAAATGTTAATGACATGTGACTTGATTGAGTGCATTTAAATAATTGGGTGACCTAATTAATAAAATTTCAAAAATGATGGTCAAAATGAAAAGAGGCAATTGGTAGGTGGTCAATTGTATAGTTTACCCTATTTTTTTATTGAGATTTTGGGTTCGAGTAGATAGGTCTACAAGGCATATGTTATCAATGACTAAAATAGCTTTGTGCTGGGTTCTCTTCGTTGCTATAGAGATTATGGTTCCACCATTTATTTCTGATAGTTCGTTCTGGAACTGTTGGAGTTGCAGTTTAGTGTCCCGTTAGGTCCTTTTGTGGTTAGAGAAAGCCGAGGCTTGTTGTTTCATGGTAGTTTGGTTCGGGTAGTGTAGTTTTTCTAGCTTGGCTAGCTTTTTGTGAGGGTCGGATTGGTGTGCTTTATCGTTTGGTGTAATTGAGAGCTCTGGCTTTCATTTTATTCTACCTCATGGTATACTCTTTTTCCTCCAATTAGGTCTAGGGAGGTTTTTTTAATGAGGTCCATGAGGTGGTGTACCTTGTATCTTCAATACGAAGTACCCATCTTTCAAAAAAAAAATATAATAAGGGCAAACGATATAAATGATCACCGAATTTCTAGGACAACTGCATTTTACTCACAAACTTTAGAAACTTGTAATACAATCATTGTACTTTCAATTTATTTTCATTACGATCATTATCGTCAGTTGTCGATAAGAAATGCTAAAAAAGTCATCTTCTTCCCCCAAAAAAAGCATAAGTTTTTCATATTAATTGATTGTCGATCCCTTTTCGCTTACGCCGTTTGATGTTCTTCATGTCACCATCGTCTCTAAACACAACACCTATCATACTCAAGAGCTTCATCATCTTCTTACGACCATTGAACCATTCATCACTGTCATTTCATCCTAGTCCCAAAAACCACAATTACGAATCACAACCAGACCAACCTCGAGCCACCATCACCAATCTCATTAAGTCAACGCCCACAATCACCAATAACAACATATATATAAAAAAACAAGTACAATGAGTTATAATTCTAATCTTAATGAGTTTTTTCTTCTTTCAAAGTACAATGGTCTCGGGTACCTTTTTAATTATAAAATTATAGAACTAACATATTATAATTGTATTAAATAAATGTTATTTTTTTGCATCCGTTACTCCTTTTCACTGTCTTAGTCAACCTCTTCTCGATCTCTAACCTATCTAATTCTAATCTTGATCCTTATATTACGAAATCTACAAGGTTGTTGTATTCCCTTGATATCCACTCAAATGTGCAATCATCAAATTAATCGTCCTTCTTCTATATCCTAACGTGAAGACATTTTTTTATACTCTCGAGTTGAAAAATACTTCACTAAAATCTAATCCCTTGACTACAGTCTATTGCTTAGCTTTGTGTATTTTTAAATTTCTGACAACTTGATTATGGTGAATCTAAGATATTCTTTTTAGAATCTTGGAGCACGGCTCCATCACCTACTGCACTTTCTTGCATAAAAGTATCTTCCGATAGTATATAATATCTAAAATCACATTACACATAATATATATTAATATTTTTAATAAGTTATTTTATATCGATTTATCAACATATTATATACACAAATAAATAAAAATAATAAAAAAATATGTTTAGTATAATTTATGTATAAAATAAGAACTAACCATATATTTAATATAAATTTACCCTTCCTTCCTTAATCTTCTCCTATGAATATTTAAAACTCGAAGAAAATACCTTCCAACTAAGATGAAAAATACAAAAAAATTTATTCAATTAATTTCAAAAAAAAACATTCTATAAGAGTAAAATCAAATCAATCCTAAAAGTTTCATTCCATTCGAAGATGTAAAATATTTATAAGTTTCATATTAACACGCTTACAAACTCTCATGTCTTTAATTTGCAAATAAAATCACGAATTTAAAATATTTACTAATCATGGTAATACTTATATCAAGCATATAAAAATAATTCTTAAAATATACAAAAATTATATTAAATGATGATTTCACATTGTAATTTGTAAAAATAAAAAATTGTAACTGAATATTTAACTAATGCATCTAGTAACATACACATTATTGATTAAACTTTAAAATCAAGACAAAAAGCTTCTCACTTTCCTTACACGCATACACTCAATTTTATCTACTACTATTAAATAATAGGAATGGTTTTTTTATAAACTAAGACCTCTTATCCGACGGTTGAGATACGTTTAAATGGACTACTAAAAATTTTATTATAAATTTATCTTCTAGAACTTCTTAGGTACAAATTTTATTTGGAGCGGTAGAATAACATTTTCTATTCCTCTTCTAGAGTATTATAGATTAATCTATCCCTATTTGGATGGAATCAACGCTATTGGAAGGTATTCAACATTGATATAGTCTGAAAAGGATTGAGAAGGTGACGTCTGACAAAAATATATTGCATAATAACAAATTTTCTCTTAACGTTTGATCAAATAGTCACTTTGACCTTAATTTTGTAAAGTAATTTAGCTCTCAATATTTTATTTTGGGTCTAAATGCCCTCATGATGAAAATTGTTGATTGACTAACAATCAAAGCTTGCCACTCACGTGACACTATAACGTGTAATATAAGTAATGATTTGACATATGTAACGTATCCAAAGTGATGACGCTACACATATTTGCATATTAATGATCATATGAAAATGTCGTGTCTAAAGTGATAACGTGACATATGTCATGCTAAAAATATTTTATTTTTTTTTATTAAATTAATTTCATTTAATAAAATTGTAACATCCTAAAATTGAGGTTAGTATTTTTGGTCGTGATAATATGAAGTCATGTTGGTTTAGAATTAAATTACAGTTTGTATTTATGTATTCGACCGCATTGTGTTTATCGCTATTGCGGATATAACTGATGATATTGCGGTGATTGCAAGTATCGTGATTGTGAATTTTTAATAACATATGTTACTGTGAACATAACGGTTGTGGATATCGTGGTTTCGGATGATGTCATTATCACTACATAACGATTGTTATGTTTACAGACAATTGTTTAAGTAATTGTTCATATAACAATTTTTTAAAAAAATTTCTAAGGACAATTCTATAATAACAAGTGTAAATAAATGAGTCCCTAATAACAAATATTTAAAAAATAAATTTTAAGAGTATGCTCATAAGAACAAATATTGGAAAAAAAATTGGACTTCTAATAAAAGTACTGAAAAATTTACTCATAATAACAAATAAATATTAAAAAAGAAATTAAATTTTAAAAATTTGTCTCTAATAACAAATATTGAAAAATTAAACCCGCGATAACAAGTATAAACTAATTTAGACATAAAATATTAAGCAAATAAAAACTCCTTATATAACTTTGTATATTTTTTTTTTTAAGACTTCGGATGAAAAATTATTCATCTTAATATAAAAGAATTATTATTTTGGAGTAAGACGTGCTAATAATATGTAATAAAATTATGAAATATTTTAAAATGAAAAATATAAAAAAGTCGAAGATAATCGGCACAAGAGAGAAGAAAGGGAGAAGAGGGTTAAGGATAGGTATGGGTACGAGACTTGACTCTGATGAATTTTGATCTAACATGACTTAATAAATTTAAAAAAAAATTAGTGTTGAGCCTCTTTAGAGTACAAGTTTGAGTCAGATCGGGTTAGGTCGAATACTCGGGTTTGAATTTGTGGTGAAAAATATTCAACTTGAAAATAACATAATTATACCTTGAGGATAATTGCAATAAAACTTCTCGCTATATTTTTTTTGTAATTAGATCCCTATTTTATCGAATAAATTAATATTTTTTAATAAATTATTTATTTCAAGTCGGGTCGAATTTTGGGTGGAATGTGTATATTTTGGGTCAGATTGATCGAAAACTGACCCAACCCGACTCATGTCCATCCTAGTTAGGAAACATGGGAAAACGTGGTTTATTGAATTTCTATATCGAATGGATCCAATGTTAATAATAATGCTTTTTTTAGATTTAGGTAAATACTTAATTTACCTAATAAGACGAGTAAACGTATTCAATAAAGTGATAATAAAATATTAAATTGGACTAAACACCATTCTTTTAGGACAAGGACTACATATTTCGTGTTCTACTTAGAGTTAAAGATGTGTGTGTATATAAAGAGGAGATGCTAAAGCACTTCTCACTAAACAATTGGAAGATAAGAAGAAACATAAAAAGCTAAGCATCAAGCGTTGATATTCTCTTAAAGATGCAGAGAGATTCTGGCTCATGGTACGCCGATGACACGACTTGGAATTGGTACTATTTCGACATATGGATGGGGGAACTTACGCAATATCAAATCCCACAAGACTACGAAGAAGAAGCACATGACCCTCAACTTTGCGGCCGGTTTCGATACTGTCATGCTTTGCTAGATCGCCATAACGATCCTGATCGTAGTAAAATCTATAATACGTTTCACCAAAACCTATTCGACGAATCCATTAAATTCTCCCCGTGGGAGTGTGAAATCTCCGAAGAATTCAAGGTCAACCGTCGTTCTGAAATCTTGAACTATATCGACTCCACATATAGAGCTGAACGCAACAAGAACATAGATAAATTCTTGATCATTGTGAAATTCGGGGTGTTTAAGATAAACTACCATACTTATCATGATTATTCCAGCGATGATTATGACGGTGATACCGAGGAGGAAATCGGGTTTGTTCCGGCTAGTAAGTCGAGCATTGAAGCGTTGGAGAAAGTTTTAGATTTGGAGTCTGAGTTTGAGTGTGCGATTTGCCTCGATGAGGGGATGAACGAAGCTAAACGCATGCCTTGTGGGCATGCATTTCATGACCGATGTATTGAAAAGTGGCTAGAAAAGAGTCGCATGTGTCCGGTGTGTCGCTATACCATGCCTTGTGATTCATGAATGTTTTTTTTATTAAGTGATCCATGAATGTTTAAATCTTCATTAATTACTGTTACTATATACTTTTTATCAATATACAATTATTAAGTTTAGTGATTTTTTTTGATTCAGTTTGTTCCGTTCATAACGTCAGATTTAAACTGATAACTTTATGTAAACAATATAGTATTTTATCTTACTTAATCATCTGGTTATTAATTTTAAAGTTTAAATTCTAATAGTAATTATACTTTATTTTAATTGTAAGAACAATTTTAAAACTTATAAATGCTAATAAAATTCATATATGGTGATTTTTTATCTATGAATTATTTAAGGATTATAGTGACGATTTTTATTCATTTCTATTTTAAAATTGAATTAGATTACGAAGTTCATAGTATATAGTACTAGTTATTAAATATTTGGAAAGAATTTTTTTTTATAATCAATCGGACTAAATCAAACAATAAATGGCAATTATTAAAGAGTTTCCATTAATTTAGACAATTAATAAATGATTTTGTTTGTGAATTTAAAATTTGCCAGAAAAAAGGGCATACATATATGCGTATATGTATATACAGACCGCTGCATGACTTGTTATCTTTGAGATGGAGAAGGATTCTGGTTTGTGGTCCTGTTCAAATTATACAACTTTTTATTGTTTCTATAAATGGATGGGAGAACTTGTGGAAGATCATATCCCACAAGACTACGAGGAAGAAGTCCATGACCCTCGACGTTGCAGCCGAGTTCGTTACTGTCATGCTTCGCTCGATCATTGTAACGACCCTGATTCCGTTGAACTCTGCAATCTGTTTTGCCAAAATCTGTTTGAGCAATCCCCTAAGTTCACTCCATGGGAGCACGAAATCCCTAATGGTTCAAGGTCTGCCGCGACTGGGAAATCTTTAGAAATATCGAGTCCGTGTGCCGTGACAAACGCTACAAGAATATAAACAAATTCTTGATTGTTGTGAAGTTCGGGGTGTTTACGAGAGACAATGATCATGATCATCAAGGTAGTTTATATAACAACGATGATAGTGAGATCGAGGAGGAGGAGGAGGAAATCGGGCCTGTGTCGAGCATCGAAGTGTCAGAAAACGTTTCGGGTTTAAGTCGTGAGTTTGAGTATCCTGCTTCCCTTGAAGAAGGGAAGAAATAAACTCTGCATATCCCGTGTGGGCATTTATTTCATTGTCGATGCATATATATATTTAACTATGTACAGAGCAAGCAAATATGATGATAAAACACTTTATTATTCATGGAAGGTTTTAGACCGTATAGAAGTAAACTACATTCTCTTTTACTTAACTTCGGGATAAAGAAAGGCATTGCAGATATAGAGATTCGATTCTTGAATCGGATTACGGTTCAACTTTGTGGACGGTTTTAGACTGTATAGACGCCGATAAAGTCCACAGATGGAGATGTTATATATAGTGAACCCTGGAACTCCTGCACTTCACTGACTAAGTTATTGCCATACCATCGTTCTAAATTTATTGTCTGAAGGACCCTGCCGAAGCTGTTGATCCGTTGGCCTATCGGCACCAATGTCTGGGTCTCTTGTTTCACCATCGCCGCTGCCTGCCAGTAGTCTCCCAGTAGGGTTCTCTGGATGTTATTCGGCCTCTCGGATGTTTATGATGTCGTAGGTGTCGGCTCTAGGACCCATGAGCCAAAACCTTATGGTATTGTTAGCATTGTAGTTAGAGACCAGAACATGACCCATCTTGGCTAACTGCTACCCCTGCTGGCCCTGAGAGGTTCCTTAGTAACACTGTCACTCGCCTCGTGCTCGGGTTGTACATTAACAACCTCCCCGTTGAATCATTCGACGCCAATCCTTTCGTAGCATCTCTGCAACAGGTTATTAATCGATGTCGATCTGTAAAACCGAAACAAAAAGTTCCCGAAACGGAATCGTATTGTGAAAGAAGAATGAACCTTAGATCATAGGCAGTGGTGTAATCAGAGAAAAAGACATTTCCAGATAGTTGGTGAACATCTATGCCATTGCAGTAGCGGTAAGGCACGCCCTCTACACCAGCCGAGACTGGGGTTGCTACTCTTCCACCGGAACCCAACACCATGAGACCAAGGTATGCATCACATACATAGAGCTGATTCGTTGCGTAATGTAGGCCTAAACCGAACGGTCTTCCGCACGCGCGCCCCAAATCCGGATTAGTAACGCCATCACACAATGCCTTAGACCTGTCTCGACCTGTGAATCCATGCTCTACGAATCCATTTAGTCCGTTGTATTGTAGAATTCTACCATCAGCTACACCTACGTAGAATCGCCCAGTTGCAAGCTCAAAGGCAATGGATTCGGGACCTGTAGCGGTCGGTGGCAATTGAATCGATCGGAAAAATTCAGAATTAGCCATGGAAGGAAAACAGAAAACAAAGATGAAAAGCAAGGAAATGATTAGCCTGTTCATGGAAGCCATCTCAGATAAAACCACCCAATTTTATACATATTTTTGTGTAAAATTACAAGTATTTATAAGCCTAGAAAAGGTATAAAAGCCAAACCAAAATGAGATGTAACGTTTATGATCATGCTATTTAACACTTGTTGGATGAGAAAAAAATGTGAAACCAAAGCTCGGTATGCAATTCTCGAATTTTCGAAAAGGCGACCCCTGAAATATGGATAAAGCTTCGAGGAAAATTGGTCGGAAACTATTCGCATTTTCCATTTTAGATAGAATGTTAAAATTTGTTTATAATATTTTACGAAATAGTCACTTTTATTTTAACACTTTAACTCTTAATATTTGATTAAAATATATTTTTATTTTAAGATAAAAATCATTAATTGATTAACCATACACACTTATTTTTATTTGATATTTCACATTTATTTAATTATTGATGTGATATATATTATTATCATTTCTATTAACATAATGTATGCCACATCAATAACTAAGAATATATAAATATATCAAGAATCAATTAAATGACCTCAATGATAAAAAAATGTTGTTCTTCCTGTACGAAACAAATTATTTCAACTGTTAAAGAGATAATTGTTATCCTTAGAGGTCTCAGGTTCGAACACCAGAGACTGCAAGGGTTGAACTTTCATTGTCAAATTATTAAAAATCTTTAAAACATATATTATCATGTAAACACTCTACATTAATAGAAAAAGAATGTTGCTCTTCCTTAATAATTTGAAATAAAAATTTACATCTGACTTTCACCTCAATATAAAAAATATTTTTATTATATAAAATAAAGATTTAATGAAAAAATTATAAGCATTATGATATCTTAATTATAAAAATTATAGAGATGTGTATAAATTTATATATATTTAAAACCTTGGTACCGCTAAAAGAAACCATACAGAAATAATATTATCTTGAGAAGTAACAGCCACTCATCCTTGAAAAACTTAATTTTATTTTTGCACCAACTTGTTGTTTATTAATAGCAGTTTCAGGATTTTACAATTTTAATACTTAATAACACCAATGAAATCCACCAGCCGTGATGCTATCTCTTCAACTTCTTCACTCACTGAATTGTTTCCGTGCCATCGCTCAAGATTAACTGTTTGTAAAACATTCCCATTTCCATTGATCCTTAATCCTAAAGGCAACAACAAACTCGATTTCGTTCGTCGGTCTATCGTTGCCGCCGGTAGACAAAAATCATCTAGTCTCGTCCTCTTGATGTTATCCGGTGTCGGTAGAGAGTTTACGATTTCAGATTCTTACGGTTCATGACCCTGGAGTCGAATCTTTCGAGTCTTGTTCCCGATGAACTCGGAAACCAGGGCGAATTTCTCTTCTTTATCGACTGCAACCCCTGCAGCGAACGAAAGGTTCCTAAACAACACCGTCACTTGCTTGCTTCTGACGTCGTACTTCAACAGTCTTCCCGTTGAATCATTAACGCTTACTGCTGTTTGAAATTGTCTGCAAGATCGCAGAAATTATTTTCAATGAAACGTATAGATAGAAGTAACGTTAAAATTAGTTTTCATTGTTTACTTAAATTAGTATTTTGATTCTTATTCTCTTTTAACATTTTAACCTTTAAATATTTTAATTATTTAAAATATTTAAATATTTAAAATTGTTTGTACATTGCACCTCCTTTTAAATTGATTGTTTATCCTAATTGAAAACATTAAATTTTATTCCATTAATTAAATATACTTAATTCGTTCAAATTAAACTTAGTTCTTAATTAATTTTATATCATTTTGTATTATTATCGAATTTTATATTTATCCAATCACTTGACTTTTAAGGTCATTTTTAAGTGTAGGATCAAGTTAGAAATTAACTTGAGAGTTACGGATCGATGGAAATGTATTGGCCAGTGTTTCGTGGCGGATGGAGGGCACTGTGTCACCACATCGACTTATGCACACATATGAACCATAGCAAAAACATACTTCTATCTAGGAATTTATGCATTTTACTATTGGAAATACACTTGTTGAAAGTCTTAATTCCCATTAAACATCATATACTAAATAATGTGCACTCACCTTGGCCTCACTACGTTCTAATCCACTTTTATGATTTCCTCTCTTTCGATCGAATCTTAACTTGATAATCGTTCTGGTACTTGTTCATGTTCGATATCTACATAATCATACATTGATACATATCAATATCCAATGATATACTCTAATATATCATTTCTTAGACCAAAAGAAATGTCTATTTCTATTTTTCCCTTGAAGTGCATCGATACATTCTACAGTGCATCGATGCATTCTTTAACATGTGCATCGATGCACTACCCATGCATCGATACACCAATCACCTTCGATGTTTTCATTTTAAGGGGGTGCATCGATGCACTCCTTATGCATCGATGCACTAATTGCATTCGATGTTTCTTCTTTAAAGAGTGCATCGATACACATTGAATGTTCATCGATACACCTTACCCAGAATTTGCATTTTAAGCCCGAAAACCATCAACTTTTAACTCAATTCTTCTATTTTAAGCCCCTATCATGTCATTAAACTCAACTACCATTACTTAAACCAACTTATATTCATATAAACCATCTTTATCTTCCATATCTCATCATGATTCTTAAAATTTAAGAATCTTACTAAACTTTCAACTTTGTTATTAATCCTTTCTAACTTCATAAATCTCTTATTCTTATTGATGGCAAGTCAAATTCAACTTTCAATTTTTATTATAAACTCTATTTCAATATTTCACTCAAGAATTCCAAATCTTTAATCTTCTCTAACTCTTTTATATTTTGATTTTAAGATAACTTAAGCTTTCATTAAGCTTAGTTATCATCTAATGATCATAACCCAACCTTAAAATTTAACCATAAATTATCTAAATAGAAGACTCACCTTTTGTTCAATCCTTCACGTATGAAGAAGGAAAAAGAGAAGAGAACTCTGGAACCTTTTTTCTCTTCCCATGTGCTTATTACCCTTTATAAAGGGAAATAAAAATCTTCCCTGAAAAATGACCATAATACCCTTATTACTTTCAAACTTTGTCATTCAATCTATCATCAAAACTTTTCATTTAAGTCCCTGAACTTTCCATCTTTTCTGAAATTGGTCACTAAATTTACCAAAATTCTATTTTGGTCATTGTCCCGAATTTTGGGATGTTACAAATCTCCCATCCTTTAAAGAAAATTCATCCTCGAATTTTCACTAAACATATCAATAAGAACATATCTTCTAATGTTCTCATGTTACCTCTTTTACTTAATATTTTCTTCCTTTATTTCTTCAACTACCTTTTTCCTATATACATTCATTTACTATCACTTGTCATTTAAACAACAAACAGTAACTTCAATCCATTTATGTCTTTTTTCTCCTTCTATTATGCATTTTCCTTTGACCATTTATAAAATTTCATATAATGTCACTCATCACGTAGACAGTAACATCCGTTTTCTATTACTCAATATCATAAATCCATCTATTTCTTCATTAATCTCTAATTATCTTATCACTATACCAAACTTTTATTCCATCATCATTTGACCAAAACACTACTTTAAATCTTCTTTAATTGTGATTAAACGCATACTTTACAGAATCAAACAATCTTTCCACGTTACTTTGCACACTTTTCGTATTTCTATATCGAACTTATCATCTACACTTCCATATAACACTTATCATACTTAACCCTTTAATTTCTTTATCCTTTTACTCTTTCACAATTCAAAATATCCTTGTAACATAGATCATATCTTTTCTTCAGTCTCTCATACGCTTTTCATATCACTTAGACTTATCCCTGATTACCGATCTTCATCACATCTTCGTAACTTTGATAATTCCTTTCATTTATACATATCCTCTTCCTTGACCATCTCTTGTACTGATAATTTCTTCCTTAATCTTATACAACTACTTATTTCTTTGTCTATATCATATCTATATGATCAGAATACACAACCAAATCCAGATTCATTATTGAATTAACTTAACCTTATATCTTTTCCAATCATACAAGTCCATCACCTTTACTATTACAGTTAATAAATCAACTGTTCAATCTAGGGCACAAGCCCTAATCATCCAATCATATCTTCTTTTCCGTCAAAATATTCCTCCACAGTATCGTACTCAACTTTTCAAACTCATATTTTTACTCCTACACTGTACTATTCCTCTGTTTGAGAGTCAAACGTTGTAACTTTCTTTGTCTTATAAACTGTTCACCAATATACTCATTCTTAAACTCTTATTATCAATCAATCCCCGGCTTTACTCAACTATATGAATCCTCACTTTCTTCACGTTATCACCTTACTATGATCAAAATATACAATTGTATCCAATACATTTTCATCACGAAATCTTGTTAGCCCACGCTAACTCTTTCCTTCTATAGTACAAACCCTTATCATATCCACACTCTTGCTTATACACCATACTATATCTTTGTTTAAGATCCATAACTCTGATTTCATTCATTTTATAAACATATCACTGATGCACTTATTGTTGAACTCTTCTACAATTCTAACCACATCATTTGATCTTTTAATGTTCTTATGGTGACATTTGTCCACCATACTCTAGCTTTCTCTCATAATAACGAAACTTCTCAATTTAACTTCTCCACTTTAGAGAAATAAAAACCATCTAACATTATCTTCATATAATTTATTCAAAGGTCTGTAACAACAGAACATTTCTCAAATTCAATTTTGAACTCATGTTCTCTTAACTCTTTTAACTATTTCTATACATTCATTCAACATCATTCAACATTCTATAATCTTATACATGCATTCCCTGAGGTTTTCGCTCTTCTCCCTGCCTGGCCAGGGCAGGTGAATGCTATTACCTTCAGGTCCATCTCCTTGTGCTTCACTTTGGAAGCTCTTATATATTCATGTGCTTATATCATTTCTTCTATCACATATCATGTGTGCATATGATCATCCAATTCATATCATATAACATATGTCATTTGCATATGTTCACATATCATCTATCATATCATATAAACATATATATCTCATAAATCATTCTCAGGTATTCACTTATCTTATATAACATAACAATTTAACTCTATTAATAAGACAACACACTCCTTACCCTATCAGATCAGAAAATTTTCCACGTTGTGTTGGCATGTATACTTTTTAAAACACTTTTGACTTCATTTTAGCCTAGAATCGGCTAAACCGTAGCTCTGATACCATTAAATGTAACACCCCCAACCCGTATTCGACCTGAATACGAGTTTGAGGTGTCACATTGACTTTTTAAAACATTTACTTATATAAAATAGTGAGTAATTTAAAACTTTTATAACATATAACTTATTCAAAACGTTTACAAAATTATTCAGAGCTTATACAATATATTCTTTGAATACATGCCAACTAGAACTTTATATATTAAAATACATATTATTCACCTATCTTCTGATCTGACCTTCAGTAAGGAGAACTGATATGTCTTGTTCCACATTGCTCTTTACTCTTCTTGAAACCTACGTGTAAATCACTTACACGCTAAGTCTATGACTTAGTGAGGAAATAAACATATAATGTAAACTATAACTTGTAAGCATGCATGAACAATTACTGTTATCACATCATACCCAAAATTATATCCATTCATATTTCTATTCTCTTGTTTATATGATCTATTATGTTCATATCATATATCTTATAACATATACAATAAGCACTAACACACATATATCATATCATATAATTCATATCACAAAACACACACATATATATATATATCACATACATTGTATTCAATTTTATCTCTTATTAGCCCATGTACACCTGTGAGAATTGTAGATATGTGAGTCTATTGAGGTTGTGCACTATCTTGTCACCATAGCTCATATGGGGACCCACTAGGGGCTATGAAATTTATCCCGAATGACCACTATGAAATATCCTGAAGGATCACTGTATATCCCAAAGGATCGCGTAGACCCTCGACTCTTGGCATGCCAACTATACCTATAGCTCTCGTATCATATAACATGGGCATTTTCACTTATATCATTCCACATATACACTTTCATATCATATGTCATATAAGCTCATAGCTTCTTTCACATATACATGTAGTCACATAGTTTCTTTTAATATTATTACATAGCTCATTTCTTATAATTTGTTTTCTCATGCTCACACATATATCATGTCATATAGCTCATATCTTTCTCATGCAATCACATAGTTCAGTTTCACATATGTTCATATATATACATCAAATAGCACATACTTCTTATATCATTACATACAAAAACATATTAACACATATAATCATGCAATATATACAATAATATGTCACCACATCGACTTATGAACACATATGAACCATAGCAAAAACATACTTCTATATAGGAATTTATGCATTTTACTATTGGAAATAGACTTGTCGCAAGTCTTAATTCCCATTAAACATCATATACTAAATAATGTGCACTCACCTTGGCCTCACTACGTTCCAATTCACTTTATGATTTCATCTCTTTCGATGGAATCTTAACTTGATAATCATTCCGGAACTTGTTCATGTTCGATATCTACATAATCATACATTGATACATATCAGTATCCCATTGATATACTCTAATCTATCATTTCTTAGACCAAAAGAAATGTCTATTTCTATTTCCCCTTGAAGTGCATCGATACATTCTACAGTGCATCGATGCATTCTTTAACATGTGCATCGATGCACTACCCATGCATCGATACACCAATCACCTTCGATGTTTTCATTTTAAGGGGGTGCATCGATGCACTCCTTATGCAT